CAGTAAAACAATAGAGAAAATCAATGAAACAAAGAGATAGTTCTTGGAAAATATCAATAAAATTGATAAATCTAGGAAGACTGGCAAAACTAAAAAGAGGGAATTTTAAAATCACCAATATCAAGAATGAAACAGGGTATCACAACATATCCTGCAGCCATTAAAAGACTAATGAAGGAATACAACTAACTTTATACTCATAAATTCAACAACTTAGAAGAAATGGGCCAATTCCTCAATGACTACAAACTACCAAAACTCAGCAAGGATAAAATATGTAATCTGAATAGATCTATAACCTTTATGATTTGAATTCATAATTTAAAAGCTCCAGAATGATCTTCAAATAAGAAGTAATCCTTCTGAAAATCTCCAGGCCTAGATGGTTTCACTGGAGAACGCTATCAAACATTTGAAGAAGATATAGCACCAATTTTACACAATTTCTTCCAAAAAATAGAAAAGGGAGGAACACTTCCCAATTCATTTTATGAAGCCAAAATTATTCAGATACCAAAACCAGGATTTATTCAATTCCAAATGCCCATTTATAAAAGTGTATAGGACTTTACAAGCTCATTTTTGTTGCTTTTAGGACATGTCCAAAATTTTGGAAAGCCAAGACTGAAGCTTTTTAAGTCAAACTGAAAAGGGAATTTGGAGCTGGAGACATGATCTAAAAGGAATTCTTTTTTTTTTTTTTCCCCTTTCGAACATGTGATCTGTGCATAAATGTCTCATCTGCTCTCTGCTATTTATTAACCAGTTCTGCCACGTGATCTGGAACACCATGGTGAGGTGAGAAGCGTTAAGTCCAGGGCTCCTGATGTGCTCTGCTATTAAGCTAACCTGTGTACTTGAATAATTAATTAAATGTTTTCTGCCTCTGTAACGTGGGCATGCTGGTTTAGTTCCAACATGCTATTTTCTATGAGATCATCCAAACCAGTAAATAAAGACAAAACTAGTAACTGTGTTTATGTTGTTACGATAAAGTAGTTAACACACAGGCTTAAAACCACTCCAGCCTCAGTGCTCCTCCCCACTAGATCAGCCTTGGGACCCAGAGTAACTTATTTCACCTCTCTGAGCAACATCCTCCCCGTCTGTAAAACAGGGGTGCTAATAGCTATTATTTCCCTTGTAAATATGTGGTGGGGATTAAACAATGCAATGTTTGTAAATACTTAGTATAGTCACTAGCCCATAGGAGATCCTGAACTGATGGTGGATATAAATAGTCAGGTGTCCCATAATGACGTTTTGGTCAATGATGGACCGCATATACGACAGTGGCCCCATAAGATTATTACCGTATAGCCTAGGTGTGTGGTAGGCTATACCACCTAGGCTTGTTTAAGTATACTCTATGATGTTCACACAATGATGAAATTGTCTAATGACGTGTTTCTCAGAACATATCCACATCATTAAGTGACACATGACTGTACTGCTAACATTTTTGTGGCCTCAAAGATGTTATTAATCAAGTAAAACAATAGTGACATGAGTATTAAATAAAAGTGATATGATAATTGACTACTAAAATAAACCTAAACATTAAGGCATGAAAGGTTTATTTATCAGCACTTCATTTCAATATTTGACCACTGAGAAAAATCTGTTCTCAAGTAAGACACTCTCACTTCCAAGTCTTTCAAAGCCAGAATGATTTGAAAACTATAGTCTTTTTAGTTATAACCTGATAACTGCCTTTCTATGCAGTCTTGGGTTATCAGCAATTGCATCACATGGAAAATTGTCCCCTCCACTTTTGGGGATACCTGATAAAGTCAAATTGACAGTAAACAATATTTCCCACTAGAGACATTTCTATATTAAATGTTTTTATTTTCCTTGCACAGGTAGCTACAAAATCCAAATATCACTGTGCAAATATACCATTTAATTTCTCAAAATTTCTTAACATTAATGGCCTTTATTTATGATCACCACCAGCAAGCCTTCTTCTTCCACAGGCTTAGCACATTTATCATCCACTAGTGGAGTAAAGACTACAAAATCACCAAGAAGAAGACCTTATGTCCCGCTACTGGGCCTCAGTGTAACTCAAGTGTCCTATTTAACCGATTGCCGAATATTGAATTCACTTTATAAAAATTCACTGTGTATAGTTTTAAGGCCTAGGAAAAATGTAGTAACTTACAGAAATTTCAATTCTGCCAAGAATGCAGGAGAAGGAAGAGATAATTTCATTGCAATTAAATAAAGATTAAGAACAGTGCTAAGAAGCAAATTGGGATTAAAATCTCATTTGGCTATAACTGACATAATTTTTTCCCACTCTAATGCTCAATCATGTGATAGCTGAGTTTACTATGATACAATCTGGTGTCAGTACCAGATGAAGATGGGGGAGGGTCAGATCCAGGATGCAAGACTGCTGGAGAGAGGAGGAAGAGTGAGTCAGGGCTTCCCTGTGGGATGGCACCATGCCAACAGTGGCCCAGAGGTCAACTTAAAGATAGAGAAGATCTATCTTCATACTCCTCTAGAAAACACAACTTGTATAGTTATCCAAAGAGACTCTTTCCTCTGTGAGATAGTCCACTGACATAGGGTTGCTTCCCCAAATAACTCCGCCATGTCCCTTTGGGAAGTCTCTGATAGTGTCACTAAGCTCAGCAAAAGGTCTCCCAGCTGTAGGGCCTGGAGCCTCCACACATTGTCACAGAGCCATTGCATGAGATGGGTTTCCTAGATTTTATTAGCAGAGGTGATTCTCAGTGAGGTCAGGGTACACCATCTGCCTTCCCAAACAGTCAGTCAAATCAGCACCGCAGTGGAAACTGCATGGGACTTTAGGCTCGACCTCAAATGTGGTGAGCACAGAAACTCGGAGCTCAAAGGTCTCAGTCTGCATGTGTATACTGATGTTGTCACTTCTGGGGATGATACTCTTCATATATCATTTCCCTTTTCTCATCTCCCCACTCCCCATAGACCCCATTAGCTGCCACTCACTTCCTTGACACCTGAAGCACTTGCTTCTATTTTGAGCATGATACTGACTTAGAATGCATTCTTTAATTACAGTGTCATGATCTCAGCTTGGGGGGGTCATTTCCATGGTGATACAGGAGCATGGGACAAGTTGAAGCCACCAGGTTGCTATGAAATGTAGTTGGGCCCAGTTAGGTCCCTCTGAGATTGGGAGGGTGGTTTCTGCATCCCTAAATTCTGCCACAATGTTTTTAAAAAGAGTTAAAAAATGTCACACGTATTCTCCCTTGTGTTGCCACTCATCAGTGAAGTTAGTGGAGAGGAGTCAGTGGGAAGCCCCGAGGCTTGTTCTAAATCTAATTCTGTTGCCCAGTTAACATGTTTATCCAACTTTCTCAGCCCCTCACACAGACTCAGAGTTTACAGGTTCAGTGGATTCCAGCACGTTAGTAAGTACATTCCTGTATATGAACTACATGCTTTAACACAAGACTGAAATATCTCTTTACAAAACTGTCAAACAATGGCACTAAGCTAAATTTTTATAAAATCATAATTAGATATCTGCATCTTTCTTCTTCTAAAGGCATTGGTAACCAAAAGGAAAACTTTGCTATAGCCTCTGGACCAATAGTTAGGTGATTAAAAAATAACTCTTTGGTAACGTTAGCATAAGAAAATAATACAGTTCAGAATGCGAAAAACACACTCCTACAGTATATATCTAAATTGGTAGCACTGTTACCACCAAAAGATAAAGATAATAATATTTTCCAACAATCAGAGAAAATACGGCCAAATGCTTTTCTTAAAATAACCAATAACATGAAACTCTTTTGTGTTCTTATTACTGTAAAAGTGTAAAGTCAATTCAGAGGTCAAAATATATTCTTCCCCAAACTAATAGAGTGTTGAAACAAGACAAAGTCTGGTTGGCTGCTATACATTTCTCTAACACCTCTCCCACAGACTTTAAATAGGTCATGAGATGAACTAAAGAACGTATATATATCCGCAATACAGAGGAATTTAATTATTTCTCCAAACTGACAAAATGATAGCAGTGCTGTGTCAGTATTCTTAGGGTGTCTGTTATTAATATTAATCCTTGGCAAGGATTATGCTCTTTGCCATAGCTTATAAAAGTGATACATCTCCTACATATAACATACATATATCTGTACCTACTATATATGCATGTACATCTATTCAGTGCAGAAATCAGATGACAGGTGACAGAGCAGGCAGTTAGGAGCAGCACATGCTTTAACACGACCTACTTACGGAAGGCAGAGTCCCCAGTCAGGTGGTCTTCGGCATGACAGTTAGCAGTTTTCCCTGCAGTGTGGTCTGCAGGAAGAACGCAAACCTCTCTCTAGCGCAAGTCACTCAGCCCTGCTGGCTTCCTGCTGCTCTCTGGGTCACGGCATCCCATTAGGAGTGTGACACAGTAGGGAAAGAGACCGGTTCACTGTGAGACCTGCTACTCACTCTCGTACAGTGCATCGGCCCCCCTTCCCACTGCACAGTGGCTGCCGAGCTCTGGCCGGGAGGCGTGTGGCCCTCGAGAAAGGGAGCCATGGAGTCAGAGTTCCACCAGGATACCGGCTGCAATGTCAGTGGCCTTCATCTGAAGACAGTGCTTTTTAGGATGGTGTAGAAACAACCAATTTGGTTCCCTAGCCTTAGGAACGGGGGAGGAATTCTCTTTAAGTTGAAAAGGAAGAAAAAGTATAATCTAGGAAGATAGGGATGTGGTTAGCTCTCTGCTTTAAAAGAAACTAAGAAGATCCAAAAATAATTTATAGAGACTGCGTTTAGCATGCCTGGGATGCTGGAGTGGCGTGGGCTTCACCTTCTTGTACCTGTTACTTTTCCGCAGATAGTAAATCAAATGTTCTGTATCTTCTCCGGGTAAGGGAAATGAGCCAATTTAAATTGCCAAGCTCGGATACTCATCCAAAGAGGACAGCTGAGAGATTTACGTGCAAAAATAACTGGGTTAGAGGATAAAATGGGAAACGGATTCTAAATACCTGCTTGCTGTGCTGCCTGCGGCATCTGCTGACCCCTCTGAGCACTGTACTGAACTGAGGCCATGGGCCGGTACTGCTGCGTGGTTGAGGTAGGGTACTGACCAGATGGATAATAATATACGGGCATCTGTGGAAGAAAGGGAAAAACAGCAAGGAACGAGAACTGTGCATTAAATAACATTTTTTAAACACAAAATATATGGTCATTTTATGATGTAATGTGATTGTAGTAGATTGGTGGCTATATTAAAAATAGCCACCAAAACTTCTCCCATGCCTGTGTATGTGTGTGTGTATGCTACTCCACTTACAAAGTGGTGAAATCTGTTCCCCAAGCCCTTGGATCTGAGCTGGCTCTGTGATCTGCTTTGACCAACGCCATGAAGCAGAAATGATGACTTCTGAGACTTGCAAGCCTGATCCTTAAGAAGACTTGCTGCTTCCACATTTGCAGGAGGGGAGCCCAGCCACCAGGAAAAGAAGTCCAGGCTATCTTGCTGGAGAAAGAGGCCAGGTGGAGAATAGAGGCACCCCAGTCGACAGGCTACACCAACGTTCTGGCATGTGAGTGAGGCCATCTTGGATCTTCCAAGTGAAGCCCTTGAGCCCCAGCTAAGCCCTGAGCCAATACCACATGGAGCAGAGATGAGCCATCCCTACTGAGTCCTGCTAAAATTGCTGACTTAGTTGTGAACAATACAGTGCTTGTTGTTTTAAAACACTGAATTTTGTGTTTTTTAAATGAAACAAGAGTGAATAAAAGTCATCTAGAACAACAAAAAATTTATGGTAGTTTTAAACATTATATCTAACTTGAATTGTTTTTTTAATGGAAACACAGGTGAAATATGAAAACTGCTGATCTCTAGCCTAAAAGAAGAAGAGAATGAGACTATAAAATATGGTAAAGTCTATCAAAGCAGTTTGCAGAGTGATTGGCACATAGCCAGGATCCAAAAAATTTATGTTCAATCTAAAAAGGGAAATATGTTAAAAATATTGTTTATGTCACCTTCTGCCACTTTCTAATGACTGAGAATGGTTGCAAATATTCTAATAACTTCCAATAAGATTCAAATCAAACGTCTCCCGATCTGGAAAGACTTCCTTGCTTGCTTCAGGTCATTTATATTAAGGCTATTTTCTTACTAATCTTCATTATTTTTAATCTCCAGGCCTCTGACTTTTCTTCTATCATATTCTTTAAAGTACAAACAGAGGCACACCAGTACACAGCCTACAAGTATTATATATACAGAATAAATTTACGAGCCACCTGTTTGAGAGCTGTAATTTTTATGGCTATTTTATTTTCTGATTTGTTCGTGTCGAATACAAGAAACACTTTTCTGGTTCAATTTTGCTATAGAAACACATGTAGCATGTTTTCCTGCCTTAGGACAAAGTAGGAACTAAGATAACTTAGTTTGTGTGGATCTGTGGCTCTGCAATCCCATGGAATCATTATGAGTTATAACTCGGATTAACAATGTGGATATCCAAGGGGAAGAGGCTGAATGAGTCTGAAGCAAACACAGTCAGTATCTGGCAACTAACTAATTTATTGTACGCATTGTTTATAGTGATTTGATCTTACTATTTCCCCATCTCTTTGTAAGGCAACTTATAAAAATAAAAACTTAAATAATTCTGGAGTAATAGTAGGTTTTCATTATGTTCTGGCACATGGTGGTGCTATTAAAGATTACTACCAGCATACATCAGATGCTTCCTAATATTAAGAATAAGAACAACGATTATCTAATTTATTCATCAGCATTATATTTATATGTCTTTTAGGAAGAGTAGCATTTTGTTCCTTTAGGAACAACTGTGTCTTGATTCAATGTAAGCTCACAAATGTGTTATCTAATCCTTGCTCTCTCTTTTCTTCTTCATTCAATATGAAACATGAAAATACCCTTAGGGATGAGGGACAGAGTTCAAACACTTGAAAATTTCCTAATGAGCACTAATGGTTTAGATAAAGGTACAATTTCTTGTTAGGAAAAAAAAAAAGAAAGAGAGAGAGAGTGCCTCATTTTTAGTAGTTAGTTGTTTTGTTGTGATCTTGTTTTTTCTCCCAGTCCTACCTTCTTTGATACCCTGACCAGCTGTGCCAGAGGTTTGGTCACTTCTGGCCAGCACCTCCCCAAGGTGGAGCATGGGCCAATTCTCCGGAATTACAGCCCCAATCATATGGAGCAAGTGGGAAATGGACACTTAGCTCATCCTCATGCTCCCTCATGGAGAAAAGGAGCTGAGCTGGGCTAAGACCAGTATGAAAGGTTGGATGAGAGAAAGGGGAAGGGAGAAAGGAGGAAGGACAGCCCAAAAAGGAGGAAATGTGTATTTTCAAACAGCTATGTTAAAATATGGAGAATCAAAATATGACAGGATTAAAAGAAGAAAGAAATGAATGAGAGAAAGAAGAAAAACTATAAAAAATATGCACTTCTCCCACTTCCCTTCTTCAAATCTCTTTGCCTTGTTCCTGTTGCCAGCTTCACCCCTCCAGTGGGCATTCAGAAAGCACACGAGACAAGGTAGACAAAATTGACCTTCAAGGTCATTAAGGAGGCTCATTCTCTGCATAAATTTAACATATATGTCCATGAACTGTATCTGAAGTTCTTTTCATTGTTCTATAGTTGAGTAATCAGGTTTTAAAATGTTTACTAAATTGGAAATCACTATCGGTTATATCCTACACTCTTGTCTGTGGTTCTTTTAAAAAGAAGTTCATGGATATCCAGATTGATCACGAGCCATGAATGTCTGTTTTGTCTTTTTTTCTTCCCTCCCTCTTTCTATTTTTAAATCTATTGAAGAGGGAATGAAAGCATTTCTGTTGCAGACACACCAGGAGTTCTGAGTTGTCTTTGCTCTTGCCTTGCACTAATACCGAAATTCCTTCATTAAGGAATGACGCTTTTTAAAAAATCTTCCATTAAATATTCTGCCAGCTCTTCTCTTTGACAGCAGAAATGAATAAAAACACTTAGATGCTATTTAGGCTAAAAGAACTAAACTGTTTTTTTTCCCAATAATTAAACTTAACATTTAATTTATTAGTAAAATAATTAATATATTAATGAGGCCCTTTCTCCAGTAACTTAAAATTATTTTTCACATCTCCCTGAATCCTCCTAGGCAAGAGACATTACAGAGAAGGGAACTGAAGCTGAACTATTAATTAATCACTCAAGATAAAATGAACAACTGGGCGAAAATCATTTCATGGTAGAGGGTTCTTGCATGGCTTGAAAAGAAAATAATTTATTCAAGATGTTAAGGCAGTGAAACAAATGATGCAAAGGTGACACTGTACTTTAAACAGCTCAACCAATGCAATATTTCATAATTAGGATGGAATTTACTTGGGATGTGTGTGCCTTGAGAATGGACCAGAAAATGACTCTGTGCATTTTATATCTTGACAGTAATCACTTGCAATATTCTGCAAGGGATACCCAGGAGAGCACCAGAGATGTTTGGTGGTGAAGAGTTAACACATAATCAGTCTTTGAGAAGACAGTAAAAATCAGTGATCTGTGGTGTCTTACATGCTCAAGTCAATTAAATATGATTAATGGCTACCTGTGAGAGCACACAGGAGCTTTGCTTCCCTCTAGGGAATGGAAAGGACAGTGGATGCTGGCTTATTTTTCCTTTATATTCATAGAGGAGCTCCTGCCTGGAGCACCAGATTAGCTCCAGAAAATGCTTATGAATGGATAAGAAAGGAAAGGACACATTTCCAGAACAGCAGCAAGAGAGAGCTGAAAGTCCCCCAGGAGCAAGGGCTTCCTCTACCCTAAGGCTTTCCCCTCCTAGGCAATCAATCCAGTGAGCAGGACATCACACTGGAGGGAATGCTTTCCTATGGCCTCTGTACCAGCTGCCTGGAAAATGGGATATTCCTCCACTGGACCAGGACATTGGGTCCATTTCATTAAACTTACTTTCTGAGCCTCAAGACTTTGCATAATTGATGAATAGGACAGACCAGGTCCTGTAGGTGAGGAATATCAGTATGGACTAGAACGCAAGACAGGTTGACCTGGTGATATTCTACCTGGAATACAGAGGTCAAAATGCACCACGAATCAGCTATAGGTCACAGGTGTGAGAAAAAGCACATTTACCTGTGTAGGTGGAGGCTGTTGCACAAATCCTTGTGGTGAGGGAGGGGGCTGGAGGACTTGTTGGGAGATGGGAGGTCCAGAGCCTGAGAACCCCCCTGTAGGGAGCTGCTGGCTGGTGGAGGCGATGACATAGCTTGGCTGTTGGGTTGGCTGTGGTATGAGGGACGGCGGGTAGACAGGACCAGATGGGGGCTCAGGAGTCTCTCCTGAGGATTGCCGGCTCAGGTTCATCTGGCTGAACTGTGTCGCCACATCATCTCTCTGCAAGGCCACAGAAATAAACGAGGAAATCAGAAAGATCAGCTTAGTAATGGGAGAGGCACACAGAGGCAGACACGGGCCACATGCTTGTTGTGGGCGAGGGAGGGAGTACAATTTGGAAAAAAAATAAAACGAAGGAATTCTCCAGGCAGAACAACAAGGGAACATAACAAGAAAAAACAGATTTAATCATCCCGAGGATCAGAGATGGTAAACAATTTGACCCAAATCTCCCTCTTTCAATGGAAACAAATTATTATTTTTTCACTAAGGGATCGGGCTCCTCAGGATGGTGCTGAGGCAAGAAGGGCTTGGTGTTCTGTCCTTAAAGGTCAGCTGGTCTTCCCAGCAGCAGCCACAGGATCTGCCTTCTGGAGAGAGAGGCAGAACCGCTCGTTCTCATCATCACTCATTGCTGCTGCAAAGATGGAGCCAGGACTGGGGCATCAAGATGCTGGGTGGGATTTCATTCGTATAATAGGGAGTATTTCTTCACTGGCCTGGCCTGAAATTTAGGGGCAATGCTCACTCTTGTTGTCCAAAAGGACCTAGTACAATGAGGGGAAATGAAAGGGAATTGTGGGATTGGGGTGCTAGGGGAGCACCTATATCAGGAGCATGGGTAATGATGGTTACCATCTCAACACTGACTTGAAGAGATTTCCCAAACCCTCATGCCAGGTTCATGTGACTTTCTGCTTCTGACTTCTAATTCTGAGGGCATTCAATTCCTACTTAGCTGGTAAACTGTTAAAAGAGTATCAGAATGCAGAAGTACTAAACATGGGACAGAAGAGAGAAAGGAAACCATTACTATGGAGATGGGTTGCAATGTTCTGGAATGAGATCTTCCCACACACACCTCACAGTCAGCCCCGGGCACCCACCCCACGCCAGCCAGCCCTGCACAGGAAAGTAGTAAAACCAGCGAATATGCTCTCCCAAGGCAAAAGTCATCCAGATATAATACAGTACCAGGGGGAATTGCTGCGTTGGAGACACAGGCAGGAGATGCTGGGGAGGAAAAGAGACTGCTGGATATTGCACTGACTGGGAGGAAGCCTGCAGCCCCTGGACAGACTGGAGGAAAGAAAAAGCTGATCAGGTAACAGGGAAACACTAGGGGTTGAAATCCCAGAGGCAAGCGTCATATCTGAAGCATACCACTGTCCCTTACAGGTCCTCTTGGCTTCATGCACTCCAGAGAGGAGAACCAGCCACCAATGGAAAGTCAAAGCCATGCAGCCCAGAGCCAGCCAGGCTTGGGGCAGGGGAGAGGCTTGTGTGCCCAGAGTGAACACTCCTTTAAGAAGTTACTGTGGTACATTTCATGTTGTTGCTGTTGGTTAGATCGTCTGGGTCTAAAAATATTGTCCAAGGACTAAGAAGTAAGGACAAAAATATTTAAAACGAGATTCTCTCCGGCAACCTACCTGGAACACTTCAGGTTTCCGTGGACATTTCCATGTGTTGCCCTAGGAAAGTAGGGCAGCTCTACATCTTTCTAAGGGGTGTGTACAGCCCGGCCACCTTGGAATTAACTGACTTCTGTTCTTCCCGTGGATAAAGACTATAATACTGACTGTTTGCAGACATGAGCACTTGGTCTGTGTTGGGAATGGGTGAGCCAGACGGTACAAAGTCCTGGATGGGATTATGAATTCAATCCCCAAGGCAGGCTCCTTGGTACATAAAAATAGCATCTAGATCTAAGAAAAATCTAGTCATTCCTTTTCCCTGGTACCATGCCCTCACCATGAAAGTTAATCAGATGGGGCACTTATCTATAGCTAAACTTAAGGACCCACATGAAATCCCATCAACCTGCAATCAAGGACTTTAGGCTGCCAGGTTTTATTTATGGGGCTGAGTGGATGGGGCGGCACTGATGGAAAATATCCTGTCTTCCTGATGCACTGCTGCTCTAAGGACTGTGCAGCCTTTGTCTCAGAGAACTTCTCCTCCCTGCCTTCCAACCAGCTCCTTACCTGAGTGACCAGGGTGCCTGCCATTTGCGGCTGTGGTGGCTGGACCTGCTGCTGTGGCTGAGGAGAGGGCTGCTGCTGTGGCTGCTGCTGGGACTGCCCCACCATCGTGCTTCGCAGGGGCTGCTGACTTGCTGGGGGGTTGTATATTGCAGGGGTTCCATCGGGATTCACAAAGGGCTGGCCTGCAATGGAATCATAGCTTGGTCCAGGTGAGCTTCTCCATCTCTCCTTTGGCAGAAAGAACCACTCTGATAGATACTTAAAAAGCAACCTAAAGTAAAGGGGCAGGGCAGTGGAAATCCAGGACATCTGAACCGTCGCCAATGTGAAGACTTGACTGTTTATGACCCATCTGGTTAAGCTAGATAACAATGTAAGCCCAGAGCAATTTAAGAAGCAGCAAATAAATTCCATCACCTTCAGGGAGATTTGCCAAAGCTAGGTGCATCCGTGTACAGCGGCACCCGGAGGAGAAGGCCCGCAGAGAAGAAATATTCACAAAGTGATGTGTTTTGCTGCCTCGCACCTCACGCCGTCAGTGAGATAATACACACCAAGAGAGGGCAGCTTTCTATTTACACAACTCTGGCTCCATTCGGTTGCACATTATTTACCAATACATTTGTTTTGCTTCCCCTAGCCTCGTTACCCATTCAGAATCATTATCGGTTCCACAAATATATAAGCAGAACATAACACATCCATTCAATCACTCCTCTAAATAGACACAACCAGGAATACACAGAGGTTTTGATTTTAAAGATGATGCATAATAAACTCATCACAGAATCCTCTTATAATGGTGAAGCAAATATACATTATTTTGCCTTTTGAGATAATGGCATGATTCACTACTATTATTACTACTTTTTGAAGAGTATGTTATAGTTTACAAAATAATATCATTGGAGCCTCATCATGATTCAGTGAAGAAGGAAGGTGTCATCTCCTTATGTCTCAAAAGAGGAAATGAAGACGCACCAGAAAGGGTATAGCAATAAGGAGTGAAGGGAGGAGAGGAAAAGGCAGCAAACAAAAGAGAGAGAGGAAAGGAGAGAACAAATGGGTTTCCAATGTGGCGGGCACCTCATATGCATGATTTCAGCTGTCCCAACACCACCACAGATATGCAATCTCATTCCATTTTGGAGGTGAGAAAATTAGGGCTTAGAGGGCCAAGCAACTTATTCAGAAATACAAAAAACATTATGAGAAAACCAAGAAATGACTCTGGTCGGTATGACTCCAAAGTCCACTCACTTCCCGTTACACCAAGTAACTTAAGTGAATTATTCAAGTTTACATGACGAGTACATGGTACAGTGAGGGGCCATGAAAAAATCCAATCGTAATTGAAAAGTATTAATCAATGCATAAGAATTCAGGAGGGGGCGGCCATGTTTCAAGGTGGAATCGCACTCAGGATTGGTAGATAAAGAATGAGAAGAATCAGAATATGGGGGAATGGATTGGCAAAGAGTTTGTGGAACTGTTTGTGAGTCCTTTCTTTCCTTTTCCACAATCCCCACAACTCTGTTGGAAAAGGAGCAGTAGGAATGTTTGCCCCAGGCTGAAGCCATGGAAATATTCTCTAGGAAGCTGAGCAAATTGCCTGGAAGGAGTAGAACTCCCAGAATGGGGTGGTGTCTTGGAGGACAGTCTTCCTCCTCTTGGCTTTAAGGTGGTGGCAGAGGCAGCTTGGTGAGTTCTTCCCAAGCACATATTCTAAAGCCTCTCCTTATACTGTTCGGTATGCAGGGCATGCATGAGCACTCTTATCCAGGGTAAGCAGCATGCAACATCCAAGAAAATCAGCCTTGTGGTTTAATAATATATATGAAGAACAACAAAATTTGTGAGGAAAATTAGCAACAAAAAGGAATAGGACAGACAGAGAAAACATAAAAACTGCCCCAAAGGAAACAATATTCTAGTGAAAAAAAAGTATGATATTGAACAACAAGAACAGACTGTTATAAAATGAGAGTTAAGCTCATTAGCTAATATATGCTAAGTGAAAGAAATCAGTCCCAAAAGGGCTGCTACAGTATAATTCCATTTCTATTACATTCAAGATCAGGTAAAACTTAGCAATGGTAATAGAAGTAAGAATAGTGCCCTATGAGGGGGCACAAGGGAATCTACTGGGAGACTAAACATGTTCGATGTCTCTTTCTGGGTGGTGTTTACAGAGGTGTTCACATATGTAAATATTTACCAAGGCTATACATAGAATGTGTGCAGATCATGCATGTCATGTGTGTATTTTATAAATTACATTAAGAAAGTAAATTGGAATAGGTTGGGGAGGCAAACGCTGATGTTGTAGTGAAGCCAAACAAAAGGCTCACAGGTCAACAACAATGGACTGACTTCAGCTCAACTAGGAACTGTAATGGGTGCTTAGCATTCCCATTACCCAAATCTTCAGATCAAATATATTCATGTGTATTCAGCAAGAAATCTCAAATGCTGCATATTTATGAACATACCTGCCAGACCTAAGGAAGTTCTGACAACAGTTTCATAAGCAATCACAATGTGCTGTGATGGAAAAGCAAATGTGCTAGAATTATATTAACAGAACGACTAAATTTAGAGGTGTTTTTTTTTTTAATCTGCTTCATAGAGACTTGCTTTCCTATCACTGTCATTTAATTTTACCTACATTTTATTGTTTTATATTCTTTTTCTTTTTTAAAAAAAAAAATTTCTTCTGGATTTAAAGTCTGCAACATGTTTTTCCTCCAAAAATTAGCAATTTTGCAAAAGATGAAAAAATAGTTCAATTTTCAAAAATTGATCATCCCATTTAGTGTTCTAATCCTTAGTTCCCTCCCCCCCTTTTTTTGGTACCTTAAAAGATAAGAGGAAAATTTTAGGTAACATTTAAAAAAAAATCTTCACAGCAACTTCATATGAAACCATTTCAAAATCAGTCTCACTCTGTGCTTACACACATGCACACACACACACACACGCACATAAAGATGGAAAATAAAAAGAAAAGGATCTTTACTATATTCTATATTCTATGCAAGTTTTGATTTACAGTGAGAACTAAGGAAGTGTGAAAAACTGACCATAATTAGGGTGAAAAACATAACTGCAAAATATTCGGATGGCCTTTTTGATCAATTTTAAGATCCTCTGTTTCAAATATTATTGATATGCTATTGTGGGAGATCAAAATTGGCCACCCTGAAATATCTCTTTACGTTGATTATTTTCTCTGACGGACATTTGACCTCCCACTAACTGCCTAAAGAATTTAACATAGAAGACCTGTTCCAGGAAAGAGTTATGGTCATATGATGGCTATAATATAATGTAAAATAGATGTTACAATAGGAAAGGCACCAACAAGCCCCTCTTATCAAAAATTCTGTCTCTTCCTGGCCACAGTCTCTAGGTGGCCCTGCTAGGAGTTGCTGGACAAACATTTACATTTATAAGGGAAATCTCCATTTGTAAAGGTATCTCCCTCTCTGGGGGAAGGAGGGATGGCCTCTTTAGAAACTTATCAGTGTGGAGGATAAGGCCTTAAATCTACATACTCTTGATTACTATAATTCCTGTCTCTCCGGCCACATTCTCTATAGGTGGCCCTGCAAAGCATTGTCTGACAAACATTTACATTTCCCTCGTCATGTAAATTGTCTTCTTCCCCTCTGAAATCCCAAAACACCACCCACCCCCTTCATCCTCCTTTGTCTTTAGCTGAAGATGGTATTTAAGATGAGAATCCCTGGATTGTCTTGAGAAACTCAGTTTCCCTGGTTTCTCCCATGTATACATGCTATCAAACTTGTTATTATTTTCTCCTGCTAACCTGTCTTTTTAATTATTTGGCCAGCCATAAGAACCTTAAGGGAAAGGGCAGAGGGGGATTCTCCCTCTTCCCCAACATTATGGACCAGAAGAAAGAAGTGTTTCTAAATAATTGCATATGAGAAGTACTAAGAATTCACTTCAGTAGTGAGCGATGGCACATTTTTCTGGAAAGAGAAAAGAGTATAAAAGATTGATTTTATGCGCACCAAGGAGAGGTGGAAAGAACTGAGGAAAATGAAAGAAGTAAGATGGATGCCAGGGTGGAGAAGAAAACCAATTTCCTAAGAGAGCTAGGATAAGGGACTTGGTTTTCAAGTCAGGCAATGATCGCCTCTCTAGATTTTACCATTTCTACCAATCCAGATGCAGTTACAACTGAATACAGGCAATTAGCTTGAATGACAGCTGCTGAAGACCAAAGGGGACAGAAAGACTAGCTGGCCCCGGGACTGTTCAGTTTAGAAGAGGTTTTCATGTCAGAAACTGTGTGAGCATGCCCAGTAAAGTGGCGTGTGTGTTGGCACAGGTAAAGAGAGTGCAATGACAGAGGTATGCCAGAGTGTCCTGAGCTGAGCCAGGGCAGAGGATTAATTGCAGAGTGCTCATGCCTCTCAAATACATGACATTAGGTGAAAAAGGTCTCCACTATCCACATCGAAATGTATAATGTGTAGTAGATATTATTTTTCTAATATATAATTATTGAGCACCTGCACAGTGACTAAGACTTTGTTATCCATTCCAGGGATGCAAAACAAAAACAAAAACAAAAACAAAACAAAACTAAGTATGACCCCTCCCTACAAAGAGCTTCTAAATGTGGTGGTAACAAGGAAATGAACCCAAGGGCAATTCACACTAGAAGCAAAGTAACCATATGTTCTTGGTTTCTAACATCAAAGCATTTCTGCCATGTAATTGGCAGAAGGGTATTTATTATTTTTAAAAAAAGACAGGGAATGAGAAAAAGAGATTTTCCTTTCCTAGTCCTTAGAAAGTGATCAATCAAATTACAAGGGAGCTACTGATTATGGATAGGCAAAGATTAATGCAGATCTTGCAAAGATATGTTTATAGACAGCACACAAAAATTTCATGATGCATTTAAGAAAAAGGTGAAAGCAGGTTGGATAAATAGATGCTAGAAGTCCTGTGCAAAACAAAAAGTACACTGTTATGGAAGCCCATCAGGAGCATTTGAAAGTGACCAGCCCTAAAAGGCTGTTCAAAGTGATGTCCTTGCAGATGGCATGCCCTTATACCACTCTCGTGAATTTGTGCTAGATGAAGGCAAAGCAAAATGGCAAAGCAACATATACAGGCATTAATGAGTACTTGAGGGATGCCAATGGCTGTTGGCATCTCTGGATAGCACTGACTTGAAAGAAAATAGCCAAACAAAGATGAGCTTTCTGTTAAAAATTTTCAAAAGGGAGCTGAGTCCAAGACAGCTGGAAGAAGATCAAACTCAAGAATCAAACCCAGGCTTGCCTTGCAAGGATGGAGATATACAGGGATAATTTTGAAAAAGAGACTCTGCAGCAACTCACTCATCCAGATGCCTGAAAAGCAAAGAAAGAATAGGCCAGAGGTCCTGAGGTAGAAATGGATCAGATGAGAGCTGACTCTAAGGCCAGACAAAACAAAAAGTTGTGGTTGCATTTGAGGAACTGCAAGAATATATGAGGGCTGGTCTGGTTTCAGTGTGCCAAATATTTCATACCTAGTAAGAGCCAAGTTGATCGTGCTGACAAAGGAAGTTTCATTTTTGTTTTATTTAGTAGACATACAACTGGCAGGCACCTTAGTACTCTCAAATCATTGCTTGTCCTCTTCCTGCTTAAGCCAGATATTTTATCAATAATAGTTTTATACATCAGCCATGTTCTCAAATATAAGACATTAGATGAAAAACCACTCCATTATCCACACCAACATATATAATGGGTGGTAGATATCATTTCAATAATATGTAATTATTGAGCACCTGTGCCTAAGCATAGTCCCTAAGACTACTTTGTTATCCACCCGAGGGAAGTGAAAAAAATAGTCAAGTATGGCTCCTTCCCACAAGGAGCCTATAAATGTGCTGGTAACAAGGAAATGAACCCAAGGGCAAGTCACACAAGAGGCAAAGTAGTCATATGTTCTTGGTTTCTAACACCAACGCATTTCTGTCATGTAATTTGGCAGAAGCGTATTTAGGAAAGACTGAGAGGTGTGAATTTAGGAGTTCACAGCAATGACAGAGAAAGACCAGTTCCAGCCCAAAGGAGGTAAATTTTCAGTTTCCATAGTAGAGTCATATAAGAGATTTGACAGATAGGTAGGTAGATAGATAGATAGATAGATAGATAGATAGATAGATAGATAGACATGCATGGATACACATCATAGATATACATATATACACAGAGATGTACGTATGATACATGATATATATATAAACATACACACATGCACGTGCATATTTTCAATTTAAAAAATAAACACATTCTGGAAAAGAAGAAACATCATAATTCATCTTACATCCCACCATTCAACCATGGTATACAATCTATTAATACATTTTCCTTCTGGTCTAGGGATATTTTAATGTCTAGCATTTGTCAGATCCAAGAAATATGTATGGAGAAGCTGTTCAAGTGTTGTTACACCATTTCTTTAGTTAGGATCCTTTTTCAAAGGAGATATTTTGATAACAGCTCTAAATGACTCCATCCAATGAATAAGAATTGGGACTTCGCACCAGAAAGCACATTACTTTTTTTCTTTAAACTAGATTATAGATGATAATATACACATACAGATGCATAACCATGCTATCATTACAAATAATATCCCTGCATTATACCCTAAAAAATACTCTGTTGAGCTTTTCTGAAACACTGTAATTTTGCTTAGAACAAACCACTCAAAATCAATGTTTAGTGTGTGCTCCTGTCTGCAAGCCCTCCAACTAAATTAAAAGTGAAAAAATTTAAGCCAACAGAGTCAGATCATACTTCGGTCAGTGTCCAGAGTAATGAATATGATCCTGGTTTTCTTTCAGTTTCCTTTATGGTGCTTATAATGATGCAAATAAAATAAAAGCAATCTAATATTCTCTTTAGAAGTTTCTAATCTGCAGGCTTTCAAATGATTTTCAATAAAATGATTATGCCTTCTTTTTCCTCAAGCTTATGGCATTTTCAAAATGTCTCAATCAAACACCATGCCTTGAGAATGGACCATATGTTTTCATGAAAATGTAGCAATTATTCAAGTAACTATTTTACTATTGTTCTTATTTTTCTCTGAATTTCCAATTATTAGTAGCACTATCTATGTGAGAAGATTGAGTCAGATCATTTTTATGAGATTTGCATCCAGTTTTGCATTTTTAAGTTTAGCTAATCAAGGAAATACTCTGGATACGGTATACTGGAAATATCTAACTCTATATCTAACTATAACTATTTAATATCTAACTATAAAATACTGGAATAATATAAACCAAACCTCAGATATATTTTGAGATAATTCAACTTCTTTTTCAATCACTTATAAAGGCTTCTAAGGAATTGGGGGCCGGCCCCATGGCTTAGCGCTTAAGTGTGCGCGCTCCGCTACTGGCGGCCCCGGTTCGGATCCCGGGCGTGCACCGATGCACCACTTGTCCGGCCATGCTGAGGCGGCGTCCCACATACAGCAACTAAGAAGAATGTGCAACTATGACATACAACTATCTACTGGGGCTTTGGGGAGAAAAAGGGAAAAAAAAGGAGGAGGATTGGCAATAGATGTTAGCTCAGGGCTGGTCTTCCTCAGCAAAAAGAGAAGGATTAGCATGGATGTTAGCTCAGGGCTGATCTTCCTCACAAAAAAAAAAAAAAAAAAAGAATTGACTAGTCAACGTCATGTCTTCTAACCCAGGGTTTCACAACCCTGACACTGACATTTTGGGTTGGATAATACTCCGTTGTAGGGGGCTGTCTTGTGCATTGTAGGATATTTAGTAGCATCTCTGGCCTCTACTTTCTTGGATGTTAGTAGCAGCCCCCTCCTCCCTAGGTCATGATGATCAAAATGTCTGCAGATATTGGCAAATGGTCTTGGAAGCAGGAGCCAAATTGCCCCTGGTTGAGAAGTTTCCCCCATGAAGCAGATGTTCATCAGTCTATTTGCTCAATGCTCTGGGTCCTTTGGAATCAGTATAGAAATTAACTGATCACTAGAGAAATTCAAAAATAAAGTACCAATGGTTATTTTTTATGAAAAAACATAATCATAAAGTTACCAATTTTCCAAACCCCACCAAAACCAATCTAGTCCTAAAATATATAAAAACGTGCTCTCTGTTTCCTCTTTGCTGCTGTTATTCCTTATTCCCCAGTAGAAGTTGGGTGAAGTTCAAAGGTAAGAAAGCAACTTCTATAGTTAAGAATCAGCTATGTAGCCCAGTTGATATCTCGAATTTCTGAAATATCTTGGATGCAAAAACACTTTTGACATAACAACAGGCTAACAGGGATTTAGTTTGAGAAACAGAAAGTTTTAATTAGTATATCCCAGTTCATCACTCTACGGTCTCTGATCTTAGCTCCTGGGAATACATGAGAGACACCATGGTCAGGGAAGAGAGGACAGAGAGGTAAATTGACATTTCTGGGAAGTATCTATATTTGTATCTATATATCAATATTGATATCAATATAAAGATACAGATTACTGCTATAGATCTGCTCTTCCTAAATCAAGACCCTACAGAGCAGTTCATGCACCAAGCTCTCCTGCCCCAGGAATTTTCCGAAAACTTGCTAGCAAATTTATAAGCTCAAACACAAAAACAAACATCTGAGCTTGTGTTCCTGCCAAAGCAGAGGTAATAAACGAACCTGTATGTGGATTAAGAAGGATGCTTCCAGGCGGGATGCCTGTTGCAGCTTCCAGTGGAAGGAGGATGTAGCTGGTGCTGCTGGGAGCAACCTGGCCCCCCATTCCATTCTCCGGATAGGGCACACAGCCGGGAGAACTTGCTGCCACACTCGAGACCAGGGGTGCACTCTGGAGAGGTGCATGGGTACGGGACAGCGATCCTGAGGAGCCTGCACTGCTGGAAGACTCAGAACCTGCCACAGAGATAGAAAACAAAAATCACTCAACACAGAGAGGAGGAGAGAAACCATAGCTCTGGCTCTAAATGCTTAGTTTGACATAATCTATCATTAAAGAATTTAAGGTGAGTGCTGCAGGATGAGATTAACTAATGCCCCTCCCACATTTTGGGCCCACATTTTATTGAAATATTTGCTACATATTTTTCAGATGCGTCAATTTCCTAGAAAAAGAGAGATTAAGAATGAGTACTCTCTTTCAGCCTTCTCACATGTCACTGGGGGGATAAATTGGTAAACGGTGCCCTAACGCTCTGAACTCAGTGTCTGAGAACTCCCATCACCCAGAGTAATTAATGCCATGGAGATGTCTTACTGAGCCGGAGTTATGAGAATAGAATGACTGGGATAGATGTTAAAAGACTTCAGTTTAAGGAGGAGTCCTATGATGTGCTGATCATGCAGATCGTTCTAAAGTACTGGCTCTCCAATATCCATAAGGCTGAATCTTCAAAATAATCTTTTCCCTCCAGATGTGAGTAGACTAGATCACCCCATTGGGAGTGCTTAAGATCTGTACTGTATTTCACATATTCACAGAAGTCTTATTAATATAGCCAAGAAGTGGACCAAGGAGGGCTTGGCCTTCATGATAATGATTGAGCATCCTTTAGATGACATAGAAGAGTGAAATCATAGAGATGTATGTGGACTGTGGATTTCTCAAACATGTCGCTAACTGGATCAGTGTGCAGAAGCCCTCGAGGTGGAATCTAGCCCTAATCATCTCCCTCTCCCTCCACTGTGGACAAAGAAATACCTACTACATCAGATGTCCATTAGGTACTAGCTGCCCTTCACTGCAACCAGAGCCAAGCAGCTCTGGCACCCTTGATCAATGAATATTAACCAGAGCATCAGAGAGAAAACGTGCCAAGCAAAATTTCTATATCTGTGAATTCACACTAATAGATGATTTGGGTGATATCACAGGTTGCAAGAATGTGGTATAAGAAGTTTTTTAAACTATTAGCCCACACATTATTGACTTATGTCATTTAAAATACATTTTTCTGTGTCATTAAAGGTTAATACCTATAAGGAATAGTTAACATGGTTTTCAAGATTCTAAAATGTGCCCTTAAATTAAACTGGAGACCTTTTAAAATAAGTAATAGGAATACAGCATGCAGTTGCAGATATGAGGGGCCATTGGAGAGCATAGCAATTTTTGAGAAGGAGGACAATGATACTTATTGAGCACTTAGTATGTGCTCAATACTGGATAAACACTTTGATAATAAGTACTATTACTGCCTATATAGATAAGGAAATTGAAGCACAGAGAAGTTAGATAACTCAAGCTGACTCATATAGCTAGATAATGTCAGAGCTGGAATTTGATCCAGGCAGACTGATCTAGATTTAACCATGACCCAATGCTGCCTCTTGCAAGCTTGTATATGCATACACGATGGGCTGCCCCAAGTGTTCGCAGCTGGGTATCTTCTCTGCTTTTCCCACGACTTGATTATTAATAATGATTAAATTCTAGGTTAATTCAGGATGCTCCATCTAACTGGTTTAGAAGGTTGATGGGGTCCTCAATAATGTATGGGGAGAAAAATAAAGGATGGAAAAGGAAATTCGAAAATGCTAAGAATAGTTTTGTCCATATTGCTGACATTATGACCCTGAAGTTACAGCCCGAATGAAAACTGTAGAATTGGTTTGTAGACTTGACCATATGATTTGATGCTACAGTCCAAGTTTGACACTAGTGCAGAGTCAACAACAAGAAGAGCAACAACACTAATAATAAAGCAACAAAACCTCCTGCCCCCAGATATTTAAGGTCCTACAAAATTGATTCTGTGCAACTCTAGGCTAAGAGGTTAGACAGTGAGAAAGAGTTGGGGCCAACGAGGCATGTCCTAACTCTGATTTGAAGTGTGAGCTAGTGCTGGCATGGGTGTGTGTTGGGGGCAGGGCTGATGCACTTAGATTGAAGTGCCGCAGTCAAATGACTTAATTTTGGCTTTCAGAAGATGGCCGTTAATTCTCTCTTTTTTTTAAAATTTTATTTATTTATTTCCCCCAAAGCCCCAGTAGATAGTTGTATGTCATAGCTGCACGTTCTTCTAGTTGCTGTATGTGGGACGTGGCCTCAGCATGGCCGGAAAAGCAGTGTGTCGGTGTGCGTCCAGGACCCGAACCCGGGCCGCCAGCAGCAGAGCGCATGCACTTAACTGCTAAGCCATGGGGCCGGCCCCAGGTGGCCGTTAATTCTTGACTTGCAATATCTTTTCCTTCTATCAGCTGGGGAAAAGCAGCAGCTTCAATAGGAACAATAAGGAGACAACGTAAATGATTTGATTCCACAAGTTAATAGAAGGAAAGAAGGAAAACTAAATTTGGCTTAAACTCTCAACACCTGCAAAGATGAAGACAAAGTCGAACCTCCTTGGAGGAGTGGCTCAGCAATGACCATGCAGCCAGGTATAGTAACTGGCCTTTCTGGCTGACTTAAGCCAGCTCGTAAACATCAACCACCCAGAATCAGGTAGAGCAATGTTGTGCACATAGTATTCCTGAAATCATTGATCAAAAATGAATGCTAGAAATGGTGATAAAAGGCACAGGATTAGAAGTATTAAAAACTTTTTTAAAAAATGAAATTCATATCTGAGAACTTTACTATTTTGGGTGCTGAGAGTTAAGATGTTTCCAGTTTCCTTTTTAACAGGGACTTAATGATAGCAATGGCAAATGTTTAAACAGTATGTCTATGTGACAAGCACTGTGCTAATCACTCTACATGAACTATCTAATTTTCACAGCGACCTCATTTTGAAGATGAGAACTGATCCCCAGAGACATTAAGTAAATTTCCCAAGCAACTTAGTGTGTGGTGGAGTCTGAGTTCAAACCCAGGCAATGTGTCTCCATGGATCAGGCTCTAAGCCTACAGGTCAGGTTGTACATTTACCCTGGGGTCATCCAAGCAAGAACCAGGTGAGGCCAGGGCCCTGACCAGGCCTGTCCCACGTTCCAGGAGATCCTGCAGAGAAATTCAATGCTACTCACAATGGGATGCTAGAAGCTGAAGCTGGACTCTAGGGGCAGCTAGTGGGAGGTGTCGGGAGAAGATATCAGGGTAGCTGGGTGAGAAGCTCAGGTAAACACTCAACAGAGAGACAGGAAAAGGAAAGGGGAAAAATGGAAAAAGACTGGGAAAGAGATCCTAAGCCGGAGCAAAATGGACAACTGGGAAGGGGCTGGGGCAGAAAGAAAGGGCGTGGGCAGATTCCCTTGGAGTAGGAGGAGCTTTTACTCCCCAGGAGGAAGCATCCTGAGTTTGGGTTCTAGTTCTGCCCCTTGCTCGCTGTGTTTTCTTCAGGAAGCGACTACTTCTTTAGACCTCAAATCCTCTTTTGCAAAGTAGAAGCCACCAGACTAAATGGGGAATAGCCATGAGGACCACGGTCTTACAGTTCCCCTCAGCTTGACTAAACTTTAGACTGGTTCCTTCCAGACTGTTGGCCCTTTACCTCCCTTTTCTTGTAGCATTTCTGCCCCTTTAAGATGTAAATCTCCTCCCAGCCTCTTACCAGTTTTACAATCCAGGACCTTCTTTCTTAAGGACTTGGGAGCCATCCCTTTGAAATTTAACCATCAAGAAAAGTAGTGCCCTTATCTGCCGGTTTCTGTGGGAGGCTAGGTGAGTTTGATAGGCGCCAATTAGCAAACACAGATGGCTTAATCAACTTGACCAATCACCTTTCTAACATCCTCCAGTACTTTTCCACTAACTCACTCTAGCGCTTAAAAACCCTCCTGCCTTTTGTTTCAGCAGGGTTGAGTTCAATCTTTCTCCCCTATTGCAATAGTCTTGACCCCTATTGCAATAATTATGAATAAAGTCTTCCTTGCCTGTTCAACTCATCCAATGCAATTTTTCTTTTATAAGGACCCTGAGCCATATGTATTTTCTCCTTGAATTAATAATTCAAGAAAATGCTTCCAGATTCAGAGGTCAGAGTTCAGTACAATAACCTAAAGCTTCTGAAATTACAAGGAGGAAGAGAATATCCAGGATGCATTAGTGTGGTGATGACAATACAGAGGAAGAAGACGAAGTGGTGGAAAGATGAGGGGTGTTGCATCGGCTCCAAAAATAGTCTAGGATGTAGACAAGGAAAGCGACACCAATAAGAACACCCTTGCATCCAGAAAACAAAATATCAGGCCACGAAACATTATTAAAACAAAACAGAAGTGTCATCTGCTAATTGCCCTGAGGACCTCAAGGGAGGTTTCAGAAGCATTTGACTGTTTCTCCATATTGTTTTATTTTCTTTTTTGTTATGTTAAGAGATGCAGTCACCAACCACCCTAAACCAGTCCAAACCTCACCACAAGAGTGACATCTGCGCAGATGGGCCAAAAAGTGCCCAAGAGATGACTTTTGCCTCATTTTTAATGCTAAGATCTCTGGTTTGGGAGGAGCTTAGGCCTCATCACCATAACATGCTATTTACATGGAAGCATGTTTTCCAACTGAGCCTGTGTAAACAAATACCCACCTCCCCCTTTTGAATATTCATTCCCCATCTGAAGTAAAAGTGATACCGGCTCAACACAAGGTTGACATGAGGGAAGCCATATTGTAGAAAAGAAGCCCTATTGTAACTTTGAATGACCTCTGACAAACTAACCCAGCAGGACATGCACCCTCCAGGAGATCAAACTGCTCTGTAGATTTTACGACCTCTGCTTGTGCATGTACCTCCCAGCTGTGATAAGATGATAACTTTGTTCTTTTGAGTTCCTTAGGAATGTGATGACCCCCAGACAGAGAGTCTATGCTGATAGCCATCCTCAATGAAAACTGAACGATCTGGTGTGGCTCTCCCAGTGTGTAACACCAGAAGGTGAACATTCCTCTCCCTCTCCCCTATAACCCAATGGCCTATATAACTGCTGTAAGATTTTGTGCCCCCTTACGATGGTTCTTTGAGACATTAGTCAGCCATCTTCCCCCTTGCTAGCAAGCTGTAATAAACTGCCCTTTCTTTTCCACCATCTTGCCTCTTGACGACTGGCTTTTGTCTTGCAGCGATCGGATCGTGCCCTTTGTGTGGTAACAAAAGGTCCTATGCTCGGGGACAGCCAGGACTTTGGAAATGACTCCACGTGGTCTCCTATTTGCTGCAAATAAGCTCTACTTTGTGTGACAACTACTTCTGGTGGAGAGTCTGATTTTAACTCGCCAGGAAGTGAACCCACTTTGGTTCAGTAACAGAAGGACGTCTGAATTCTCCAGAGCAGTTGTTCTCCAAGTGTGGTTTGAGAACAAGCGATCTGTGCTTTAACAAGTCCCTCAGGTGATTCTGATGCAGCTACAGTTGAGAAGCCCTGCTCTGGAGATCAAGAGGGAGGGATGATAGTATAACAATGCAGTCTGGGCAGTGTGGAAAGAAAAAGGTGTCGTACTCTTATTTTTCAACCACATTGCCACTACCCTGAAACAGCTGAGGTTGCAGTGTAAGCACCATTCAAGTCTTCTTCCCAAGGAGGATGGAATGACATCATCTATCTCCACAGGTGTGTGTCAGGGGACATCTGCTAGGTGACCATTACTGTGCCCAATGTGGAGGATACAATAAGAGAAAGCACAGGCCTCAAGAGAACGTGCTTGTACAGTCAGACTTCAGTAATATGCTTTTTCCAAAATGTAGGAAAACATGTTTCTCACCTGGAAAAAGGTCTCATTGTTATCTATTTAAAGCTAGAACCTATGTAATTAGAGGAGGAGAAGAGTAACTTAAATGTCACAACTACAGACTTGGTTTTTGAAAGGTCAAAAAAAGTTTGCAATTCCACTGGGAACATGAAATAAAAAATTGGAAACTTGTGTAGTTCTGAAGCTCCACGACAGCAAAACTGACAGCTTTGCTTCATAAAACCATCTTGGGAAATTGTAAGTTTGTTTTGACATCTTATCTTGATCTCCTTTAAATTTTTTTTCTTTTTTTGCTTTCCATTCCCGCACCTTGACAAGCCTTCAAATGGAGACGCTTAGATTAAAAGAAAAAAAAATGTCTGAAGCACTTACAATTTCTAATCATTCTTCAAAAAACACGGCGTTTTAGCATTCTGAAAGTGTTTTAAATGTTTCCAAAGAGCTTTGATTTGGAAGTGATTGGGGGTTGGTGTATGGAAAATGAGGATTAATTTAAAAATCTTAAGAGCTCTTTTGGTGTGTTGGAACTTTTAAGTGCACCATTTAAGGTACTTGGTTGCTGCATTTTAAGATTTAAAACTATTTAACCTTTCTTAGTTTACAAGAGCTCAAGTGCACCTCAGTGGATTTTCTTGACTTCATTTGCTGCAATAGTGGGATATAAGAGCAATTAATTAGAGTTAGAAATCAAGAATTCACCAATTGGTGAATAAAAATGACAGAAGGCAGTGTGAGCCTGAATCTTTCCAAGAAGCAAGATATATATGTATATATAAAGTGGTGGCTGTGACTAAATGCTATTAATTTTCTGCCTATGTAGGAAAACATGAGATAATTTCTTAGGAGGCATTTTGTCAACACATAATTATGTTAAACCATTAGCATAATGAGCCCAGATTTCACAAAGACTTCCCCTTAGCGCGAGTGTGAAGCTTGGTTGGGAAAGTATTCACAGTCTAAGACAACCCATGTCTAACCTCTGGTTGGTGTTGTCCATTCACCATCCTTGGCCCTGGCCTCCTACTCACCTGCAACACCAGGCCATGAAGGCACCACCAGTATACGCTGACACCCAGGCCATGTCATGGAATCACAACTCACAACCCCCACCCTAGCTGAAAGTCAAGGCCTCTGAACTTCTGAAGCAAAATCAAAACCAAACAAAAATAATTCCATACGAAAACCACAAAAATAAGTTCATGGAATGCTACTGAATGGTCAGCTGTCACCTTCCTGGGATTTTATGAGGTATTTTAATTGTGAACGTTTGAAAACAATGGTGAGGGATTCTTGGGAGACAGAAGAGTCAGTAATGGCAGACCACGAGGGATATTTTGCAGACTCATATGAACCCCATGGTGTTGATGCTTCCATCAGTATAAAGTTGTTTCAAGTTACTGGTTCTCTTGGATCTCTCATCATCATGCACCTCCCAAAGACTGTCCATGCAAACTTGAACTACCTACCTCAGAAGATCACTATTCACTCAGAAGAAAAAACAGGAAAAAAGTAATGCATGAACCTGGCTACTTGGAAACTGTAAACCTTACTGAGGCTCACTTTCCTTATCTGCAAAGCAGGGACGAAAACATTAAATGGTGATAATAAAAATAAACCAGAGCTAGTGCTTATTGAGGGCTAATAACTTGCCAGGCATTATTTGAATTGCTTTGTGTATATTAACTCTTAGTCTTAACAATAACCTTGCAATATAGGTACTATTGTTACTTCCATTTCTCAGATGAGGTAACTGAGACACAAATAGGTTAGATAACTTGCCCAGGATCATACAAACAGTATGCCAAAACAAGAACTGAAACTATTAATTTTATAATTATATTATAATACGGTTATAAGGAATAAATCATAGTATTAAATTAAAAAAAGTAGTTAACCTTTGTTAAACAGTTGCCATGTGCAGGTGCCTTGGTAGCCGTTTTTATATAAATGATCAAAATTAAACTTACAGTGGTCTGCTGAGGGGGTTAGAGTAATATTCTATTATAACCTACATTTTATAGATAAGGAAACTGAAGATTAGAGAGGGTTAATAATTGGACCTAGGCACACAGCTAGCAAGAGGCAGCATTGGTATTTAAATTGCACCGTCTGACTTCCCCTCTATCTCAGTAATTAATATCATCATCATTAGTTAACTCGAAGTCAGATGGAATGGTGATTGGACAGCTTGGGTGGAATCCAGAAAATATCACAGGACATAAACGCATTCAGTACTAACTACCTGCTTTGGACAGCTTCCCGGTACTCCTGGTACTGGACGTGCTGTCACCCCTGGTCAGCACCGTGATGCCCCCAAAACTCGCCGTCTTGGTCATGGCAGGCTTGAGATTGCGGTTGGAGCTATCAGAGTCTGTGCTGCTCCAGGCCCTTTGGTGGTCGGACCACTTGAGTTCATTCTCTGAGCTGCTCTGCCGACTCCCAGATGTTCTCCCTGAGCCATCTCTGTTGCCCCTGGAGCACCGCCATCAGAAAGATGCACAGGTACAATGTTACACTCCATAAGTAGTACGGACATAGAATGGGACCTTTCTTGGAAGAGTTGTCTACACAAGATCCTCTAGTCAACCCTTTCCATTAAACCTGTTCTGCACAAACAATGCCACAAATATCTCGGTGATGTACAGACAGATAACACATCACACGTAAAACTCATGTTATAAACAGAAAAACCAAACCTAGAAATGTCACACAATTCCTCTGCCAGTGAAGGAGAAACAACTAGAAAAACATGGTATAAAACATAATTGTTAACTTCTTTTGTGGAGAGGAGAGGGGGATAAATTCTCCTGACCCAAATCAACAATGAATCAATGTTTGGAAACAATTATGATCTTGAATGATCCTGAAAGCAACTCCCACTGAAGAAGAGTTTTGCCTCTTCCTTTAGCATTAAATAATTGGACCATGGAAAAATGTACACAGTTCCAGAGAAGCTGTTTATTCAATTATCTTCTAAATTTATGAGATATAGATCTGAATTCATTAAAGCTTTGACAGATAACACAGAAATCACAGAAATGACTTTGTTAACCTATGGTGAGAATTTTGCCCGGTGAGTTTAACCTTCACGGGCAGAGGAAAGAGCCCTTTAATCCTTTTCACATAGAAAAGCTTGTGATAATAACAACAGTGTAAACACTACACTGACATGAAACTTTCCAAAGGGATCAATGGAAATAACAAAAAAAGCTCCATAGGTGAAAGACCACATTTGTTCAAAATTCAAATAGAAAAAAAGAGTGAATGTATTGGAAGTGATCCAACAGCCAGAAGTGAATTTTGAAGACTCCAAAGTCTCTCTAAGCAGTGTGCAAAATTGCATGTTTGATACAGAAAGTTGATGAAATTTGCATTTTCATTGGTTTCCAATCTGCTTAAAGAGTAACTTGGTTAATATTTTCAAAGCTTTTTCTGCAGTTGGAAACGGTGCATCATTAAAATACTCTAAGATTCTCATGGATTATAAATAAGTAAAGAGGACAGAGATCATGGGCAATAGGTATAACTCCTAATTCCAAATCATTATGCAACGTGACACACTCAAGTCTTGATCCAATCTCACAGATGTGAACAGTAGCTTTGTCAATAAATATTCTTCTCAAGACAATAATGGACTATTGAGATGCCAGGAGTATGCATTTCTGATTGAAATGCCCAACAACCAAACTGTACAGAAGGTACACAGAAAATTTTAGGTTTTGCTTCATCTTTGCTTAACTAAACTTTTTCTTTTATTTCATGAGAACTTAAGAAGGTAAATGGACCAAAGAGATAAGAAAAATGAAATAATCTGTGAGGGGAACTTTGTAAAGTAAGGGGCAGAAGTGGAACAGAAAACTCACAAAACAAAATGCACTCAGTGCCCTGCTGTCCTCCGTCAATGTTTCCTTACAATCATTCTCTCTGTTCTCAGTACCTCAGCAATGGCTGGTTTTAGAAATAAGGAGTGTCTAAAAAAAGACCAGGTTGCAAGTAAGACGTATCACTCACCAATGGCCAGGTGACTTTAGTTCTTAAACACCTTTGAAATTCAAGAAAGCCAGAGGAGGTAGGGTGAGAAAAATTAGCCTTTTCAAGAGTGTGGTGCTCCATCCTTGGATGTTTCCCTTTCAATCTCCAAATTCAACTTCATTCTTTTCCCATATAATTCTGATTAATTTGACCCATCTTTGACAATGTCTGGCTAAATCATTATTTAGCAACTGTGAACGCACCAGGGATGTCACAATAATCTCATTTGTAGCTAATTTGGAATATTTATTATAGGAAAAGGTTTGGAGTGGTCCTTAGCCTCAGTATGCAGGATGCATTACAAGGCAGCTCTCCATATGGGGGTGATCATCACTAATTCTGCTTCAATTATCCCTCTCCCCATGAACTCCGTACCTCCATGGGAGGAATCCAGACTTCCTCTAAATGACAGTGCAGCTGGGCCTCTGTAAAGGAGGTGTCCGCCACTATTCCTGGGTGCAAACTGGTGTACTGTATTTTGCACCCTTCACTCTGGCAGAGCTATTCCTAGAGCAACTGGCTAGTTCCTCTAGACTTGTGCCACATCCCTGGCCAATAAGGCAACCTAAGATTTTCTTAACTTCTACCTCTACTCCACCAGCTCCAATCATCATCCCACATCAAGATCTGTGCATTTTAAAAGAGGGAATTTAAGTTACTGCTTTAGAGAACTGGCATTAATAAGATTCAAAATAGTGCCACTAATTCTAATTTATGATCTCTAGATAGTTACACATCGAAACAATATTTTATAATGCTCTATCTATTGATTATTCACCTTAACACTGGCCAGGTGAGGTCCAGAATTGAATTTCAGATCTATTTGGGTGTGGAATCACGGGCATCATAGAAAACATATGCACAAGTGCCTTCCCATCCCTCCTGATTTCAGTCCTGGTCCCCTCCTACTGGAAACCAGAAAGATAATGGTAATGAGATGTCTGGCCACCAAGAGGAGTTGGCCCTCTTGTACGTAGATAGAATTTGATCCCAGAGTAGTCATAAAGCATATACTCTAACTTCCGTTTCTGTGCTGAATAACATGACTTTTATTTTATGCAATAACATACATTTATTTTCTTTCATATCTGAACATGGCATTTTTTTGCCCAAGTTAGGTATAATGTACACTTTGAATTGCTTTTACCATTGTGTGGATGGCTTTGTGCTAAATCATTTTCCCGAGTTTCTATGCTTGGTGATTGGGGTGGGTGATGGCATCCGTAGTTAGAATGGCTGACCTGAGTAGATGAGAGCTCTGGTTAGGGACCAGATTTGGGACCATGTAAAACTAATTAGCCTATAGGGGGCAAGAACCCATATTTTACCTAAATTGCCTAAACAAACCAGGTCACGGTGTGTGAGTGCAGGAGTACTGGTAAATTCTAGTTCTTTTCAGGGCATTCTCCAGAATAAAGCAAGTTTATTTTCTTAATCTTCAAGTGTGAAAATTGTCTAATGATACAAGAGCAAGGCAATAGACCATGTAGTTCAACCTAGAAAAGTGAAGGAAGTTAAAAAAAAAAAAAAAAGATGCTGATTTTTGTTTCTGCCAAAGTGTAAAGGGAACAAATTACTCTAACTTTTCTAATGATGAGGTCCTAAGTTCAGATTTACTGCAAAAAGACCCTTTCTAAGCATACAATCCATTTACTTTTCTTGGTATTTTCTTTCTTCTAAGTGGGCAAGAGTTTTTGTTTGTTTGTTTTGCCTTTTCTACAAAAGAAGTGAATCCCAATATTCATAAAAGCACTAACATATTAATATATGTATTAGGTATTGAGTATATATATAGAGCACTATGTATCCTTTGCCCTAGAATGGATGCTAGAGATACATTTAATACAGTGGTAAGAAAATGGGTGTGGTCCCTCAGCTTTCAGGAAGCTTCTAGCCTAGTTTACAACTTTATATATATATCATGTACGTATATATACACACGCACTTATCCAGTACCCTTATCCCACACAGATGTTGATTTAATCAGTTTATTACAATTGGAAGCATTCCCATATCTTCCTTTAGAAATAAAATCTGTACTTGAAAAAAAAATGTTTGAAATATTATGATGGATAGTAGTAGCTAAAAATCAACAACTCAAATAGAGTTATCATTGATTTGTTTTCCAGTGTTGGGAAGGTATATACAATTGCAACCTGTCAGAGAAATTTTAACTCAGTGTAATTCACAAAAGTTGGTTTGGGAATGTTAAATCAGCGTGCTGTCAAAGTTAGCCTTTGAGGAAAAAACAGAAAATCAGAGGAAGATTACTAAAGGATTGTATACAAAACAATGATTTCCCAGTCCTGTCTCTCACATTATCCAATATGGCTTCAACACTAGCTCTGTGACAAGCTTTATAAAGATATAAGTGAACATATTTTATTTCATGAACAGAGATATTTTACACTAATACACTTATATTTAACATTGATTCTGCCACATAATCTGAAAACACAGTTTAAAAAAGTAAACCATACCAACCGAAAGAGCTGTCTTTTCTTATAGGTCTCATTGCATATGTTATTGTCTTCCAAGAGCCTACTGGAAATGAAAAACATGATTTTTATGATATAAACCTAAAGGTACTAAATGCCCTATGTTAAATGGATGTGTACTCCACTACAGCACACCTGTCTTCCAAATCAACCCCATACACCATGTTTAATTTGCATGATGTTGAATTTCACCATAATAAATTAATGGCAGCATAATTTTTCCCTACCCTAGAATTCAGGCACTGATGCTAGATAAGGGAGAAGGAAGGGAAGAGGAAATAGAGGGAATGGAAGAGGAGAAGAGATTAAAAGAAATTGACATAGATATAATAGATATTTAATTAAGTACTCGCTGTGATTTTTTTGCTTTGAGTAATATTAAAGTTATTCCCTGTTTCTTGGGGATAGTGAAATATTGGCATTCCAAAGGCAGGTATCCAAGAAATATATTTATTTTTGTAGGGAATCCACTCCAATTAGATTTTTCCTTTTTGGGAACATCAAGACTTGTTCATATATGCAATGCATGGATGTGACCAACTACTGTATTGATGAATGTAATCCAACGTGCATACAAGGAATGCTTAAGTGTATTAGCAGTCTTTTTTACAAAACCTGAGTAAATGAATAAAATTAGGGAGTAAAATAGGGAAAAATAATTGGCTAGATGATTAGGGAATAAGGTTTCCCACTAAACTGAATTATAAACGTTCACTTGATCTTTTCGGTAAGGACATAGAAATTTGGAATGCTTCAGAATCAGCCCGAAGATGTTGATGCTCATGAATTCTTAATTTTACTGTAAATAAGGAATATTTGTCTAAATCTGTATGGATTTTTGAGGTTGTTTTTGAATGCCTTATATGGACTTGTTTTCTACTTTCATCCCTTCTTCTAAAAGAGGTTATTCAATTGAGGGGTTTAGTTACTTGAAGATTTCTAACTGCTAATATGAATAATGGCATTTTTTTTAACCAGTCATCTCTAATACCTAGTTTAAATTTTCTCTAAGTACTGGAATTTAATCAAACAGCCTCCATTTTAATCAATTTTATAGGGGCACCCATTAAGCCGACACCTGAAATAAAATTAACTACCGCTTTTTTAAGAGATACCATATTTCCATTCCAAGTGGCCCATTTTGATGCATCTTAAATGCGATTAGTACAGCTAATATGGAATTCCTTAATTCCCCCTTGAAAATCTGCAATTAAATCAATGGAGCTTTTGAATATCTATGCCAGTTTAGAACCATTTCAAAAAGGTGTATATTAAATTTAAAAAATTTCTGCTCTTATGCTCAAGACTTTGTATAAATTTTATAACCCATTTATTTCACAACCACCACCTCCCCCTACTAACTCCCGAGTTAGTAAATCTAGACTATTTTAGATAGGATTTCCCAATTAGGCCTTTTATGAAGACTAATAGATTGTTTAGAATGAGAAACTTAAAATAATATTCAAATTATTATTTGTATAGCTATATATAATTATGAGGCACAGAAAGTGGTTGATAATACCAAATAATACAAGTCCTTTTCGCAGCTATTCAATAATCCAATGAAACTGCAAGTTCCTGTGTGGTCTCAACATTTACACTTTTTAATGCCTGGTGACGGTAACATGGATTACACCTTTGGAAGGACCAGAAGTTGAGACTTTAAATAAGGAAAATGTTTAAACTTATGTTTGGAAGTAACCGAGAGAAGTTTTTCCCCAAATTAAATAGTTTTTAGACATGCTAAATAACATATGTGTATGTGCATATAAGTGTGTACACATAGATATATGTATTTATTTATACATATATTCAAGCACACACTTATATATGGGATATATATCTATGAATATACAGGACACACATGACAGACTTCGTTTCTCTAAAGACATGAAAAAGCAAATTTCATTTTTACCTGTTTTCCACAAAAAGGCTTTCCTGGGAGCAAACTGACTGAAAAATAAAAAAAAGGCATTGTATCAGACGTTCTGGATACGCTGAGGGATCCCAAATCCTTGTCTGATTTTAAAACTGCTTTTCCCCTCCAAGAGGAAAAGAATTAAGAAAACTATGTGCTGTTTTTAGAAAAAATGGAAATTAAAAAGGAAAAAATAGGTTAGAGTTAGAAGCGTCAACCATTCTCATGCAGCACACAGTACTTTTCCATCAGGGCATCTCCAGGTTTCAAATAGATTTAGCCCGTTCAGCATCAAGGTCAGAAAAAGCGAGACATTGTGAATGTAACTGCTGGAGAAACGTGTGACCGCTGGATTCTGAGCTAGCAGTTTCCTCTGGGGCTGCAGAGATGCAGACACCAAGAGGCAAAAGGATGGGTTCAAAGCAAGGCAGAGCATGCAATCCTGGCACCATCCACCTGAGGCTGGGACAGCCATAGAGCCACAATCCTGCGATTATTATCTGGCAATGATAAACTCTCACAAATAAACAGATTGACTGCAAGACTCTCAAAATTGAAGAGATGCCGTTAATCAATCTTAAGAAGGGAGTATGGGCAGAAGACAAGTGAGAACAAAATGAAGCTAATTAGAAAAGAAGATGTCAAGCTTCATCTAACATTTCTTAGTTTTTCACACAGAAAACCAATGACTTGCTTCTTTGTTTCCTTTTCCCTCGCATTCATTTCTCCTCTATCTTGTGTTTAACACACAACGTAGGGAAGATAAAAATTCCATTATCATTTAATGCTGGGGAAAGGCAGATCAAATTAAATTTTAACAAATGGAAAAAGAGAAGTCTAAACAAAATATGGTGCAACGGTCCTGTAATATGGTGACTATGTTTAGGAATTAATGTAAAACCATTTCCTACTTACTAAATTTCTAAACATAAATATATACACCTTATGTGTGTAGATTTTCTAAATGATGAATAAGTGACCTGTTAAAGGGATAAATAAAGGGATAAATAGAGATTTAACAGGTCCATTTTAAGATAAAATAAAGCTAAAGAAATAATAATGACCTTTCAATACTGAATCCTTGAATTAAGAGATGCTGCTAACATAACCACTGCTCAGAGAGGCAAATAGGATATTGGTTTCTCTTTCCATTTTACTAGAGAAATCATTTCCTTCCACTCAGCCAAAGGGCTGAATTTGGGCATACTGTCTTCCTCAGGGGTCTGAACCTTTCAGTGAGGGCATCTCTAGAACCATTCCTTTTAACCTCTGTGCATTTAACATGCATTCTGAGGATCAAATGTGCCAAAACCTTATTTAACAGAAAGCAAAAACAGCCCATTAAGAAAAAAGCTTTTTGGAAAATATCTTTTTCTTTTTGACATTTAATTTTATAAAGGGAAACAAATAGAAATGATGTGCCACTGACATTATTCCTATGAAATTCTGTTTACAGTAAACAAAATATCCTACTGTCTTTATTTCCATTGGCTTGCTTTTTCTACCAGCTTGCAAAGTCATGGTTTGTGAAAGAAAGAGAGATTGTCTCAGATACATTATGAATTCAATACTTTGTTACTTCTCAGCTCTCGTAGTTGGAAAGAGGTCAATTACATTTATAATGTCCTGACCGGGGATTGAAATGACCGAGACTCTACTACTTTGAAGGAGTTGGTCCAGGACCTACTGACCTCTTCAGACTTGCTAATCTAATAGTATTTTGGGGAAAGTTAAGCAGCCCAAACTCTTTGAATTAGAAAATAAGACACCTTCAAGTCAAAGATAACTTTCCCCAAAACAAATCTCAACAGTATTTTTCTGATTTTTATGGAAAGTTTCTAAAAAATCATCTCATCATCCCTCCACCACATTTTCATAAATAAGACAGAGAAGGTTATAGGCTGTGATTCAGTAGCTGATGAAAATAAACTTTTTAAAAACGTAGTATTAATAACTTGCAAATTTTAGTAGCAGAGAAAGATAAAATTGTGGTAATTAAGTGTAGCATTCAAGGCTGTCACTTATATGCATTCTCGGATATAAAGGGCTCATGTTTTTCTTTTAAAGGAGAAAAATGATTTTGCCTAATAGGATACAGAATTCTCTTCCACATCCCACCCCCAGTCAGGCGGCATCGCATGCCCTTGTGGTCGGTTCTCACTGAAGAGGAATCCCAGTTCATGCAAAGGAGACCACAGACCAGCTCCTCCCCAAGTCTCTATTCATACACAAATATCCTTCAGAAATTACCCTCCGGGCAAAACATGTCTTTCTTAAATATATTGCTTTATCAACTTAACCTCCCTAATGCTAGCAACATTGCATAGGATTGATCATAAAATAAGTTGAAATTCTTGCCAAAGGAAACAAAAGTTAGATTTTAAATATTTCTAACTACAACAATGCAATTATTTATTGCTTGAGAACTAAATTGTGTGCTCTGACTTACAATAATTTAGTTCTCAAATAATAAATAAATTTGTCTTGTCTCAAGATACCGAAATGCTCAAACTATATTTGAAATTTTTTTCTAGAAAATCCCAAATAATCTGAATATTTTGATTGTGCACCTACATACAAAAGCACACCCAAACACGCACACATACCCCTTAGACACCAAGAAATATTTGTAATATATTCAAGAACACTTCAAATTTCAAAATAAATTTGGATTTTGCTAAAGTGTAAATACCAGGAAGTATTTCTCTATATCTCTTCATTGTAACTTCAAGCAGAAAAAAAATTCTACTTAAGTATATCAATATTTGAACCTGTTTGAATGACTCCACTACTTAATAATTGGCAAGGAAAGCTGGTTTTATTATCTCAGATTTTAAATTATGAAGACACTAAATTGAAGACCAGCTAAGAAAAAGATTAGACGTCTGTAACATACTTTCCTTATGCTGGATTCTTTGTATTTGTTTTATAATTGACTTAATATACCTTAATTATTTTCTTGTGTACCTCAACAATTTGGGAATCTAAAATTGCATAGATGAAATTTCCCTAAAGTGTCCTGTCTTTATGTAAGTGGTAAGGAAGATTTGTTACTGTAAGTATTCAAGAAAGTTCATATTGCTGTTACTTGCTTAAGTTTGTGTTAATAGAGGATATAGTAATATCTTGTTACTATGGGGTGGCCCCCAATGATCCCCACCTCTTGTCATTCACAACGTTGTGTGATACCTCCCACACTGTATCCGGGCTGGTCTCTGTGTCCGACAGAATACAGCAGAAGGGAAGGTACCTCACTCTCAAAATTAGCTTATAAAAGACTCTGGCTTCTATCTTGGGTCCTCTCTCTTTCTCTCTTGAATCACTTGCTCTGGGGGAAGCTAACTTCCATGTCTTGAAGACACTCAACAGCCTACGAAGAGGCTCATATATTGGGAACTGAGATCTCTAGCCTATAGCCAACAAGGAATCGAGACCTGCCAAGACCTGTGAGTGAGTTTGGAAGCAGATAATCACGTCGCCAAGCCTTCAAGGTAACTGCAGCCCCAATTGACAGCTTGACTGTAACATGAAAGACCTCGAGCCAGAATCACTCAGCTCAGCCCCTCCCAGATTCCTGACCCCTGGAAACCATGAAATAAGGAGTATTTTTGCTATTCTTTTAAGCTACCAAATTTTGGGATAATTTGTTATGCAGCAATAAATAGATAAAGCAGGGGACACTAGTGGTATGACTGCATTATCTCTACAGAGCTATCAGACTGGGCATTTTTTTCTCCCTCTAGGAAACTGGCTCTTAGCCTATTAAGGGTCATGAAAACTTACACCAATATGATAAACACTAGAGATCTTTTCTTTAGAAAAATGCACATATGCTCACAAACATAATATTTTGCAGATGATATCAGGAATTTTATTTAATCTCTGAAGCACTTCTATGAGTGTACTGGGTACAGATGCCAATTAAAAAACTCCTGCCCTAGGAGATCAGATAAAAAGTAGTGTCAGGAACAGGCCAGTGCCCCACTTGAGTTCGTAAAGCCAGAAGTGTTGGCCACCACAGAGCCTATCAAAAGAGCTCACACCTGTCCTCCTGCAAAGAGAAGAAGTCACAGCATTTTAAGGAAGGCTGCCAACTGATTTCATGGAATAGAAAGGCTACGACAATAGCTTGGCATTTAAGCTTTCTCACATTTGTCTTTTCAAAAAATGTTAATACAGCATGTAGCCATAGAGGTTTTAAACAGCAACACTTGCTTTCAATCTTTAACGTGGGACCCAGGTCCCTTACTATGAATCTCCTTAATAGGGATGTAGTAAATGCAATGTGTAAAGGAAGTCTTGCTGACCCCTTCTTCCAGTGATGACCTCTCTAGGGACATGAGAATCCACAAATGATGTTCAGCGACACGAGTGTCATCCTCATCACAGGCAGGCATCAGTGATGTTACTTTCTGTCACCTAGCTCTTGAGTGTCTGGCAACGTGGCACAATAAAAACGATAATATTATTTGTATATTATCTGAGTGATTAGTATTTGCTTTTCAACATAACTCATTCATAAATTATATGACTTGCCAGAAACACAGTAAGAGGGAAAATGTGTGTATATGTGTAAGAGAGACAGAGAGAGAATAAAAAACTTAGCTTTCAGAAAAATTTCTCTCCGTGAAGGTCATCAGACAGGATCACACTACTTCCAGTCCACAGTAGGCACCCTTACACTACCATGACTAGGATAGATCTTCTTATCACTTCACTCCTGTGTCCAGCAAACACAATTCAAGACCTACCATGTGTCAGGCTGTGCTATGCTTTGTCAATAATTCTGATCACAATAAAAATCTAAGTAGCCCACACATGCAGAATCTTCCAGAATTGTACCTGGACATCATCCAACTATGGCTACCTCCCTCTTCCTCTCTCACACTCTCCTAATTCCAGAGCTCTGGGTCAGATTATTCAATCATCAAAATTCTATTTTAACGTATCCAAGAAAGGCAGAGAAGATCTAGAAGATATAAGAGAAACCCGTATAAATGTGAAAGAAGTTCAGAGTGTCGCTTCCTCTGCAGCTTCAGATTAAGGGATCCAGCACCAACCGGAGGATCAGGAAAACTGGCTTATGCTTGAAACCTCTAAGGACAGCGGTCCTCCTCCATGCTAAGCACTGAAGCCTAGGTCTCTTGGCTGGCTTTGTAATAGCCTCCAGGAGCAAATCACAACAGGACGTCAGACGCCCCACCTGACTTAGTAAAGCCGGAAGCATTGGCCACCGAGCGTGTACACAAAGGAGCTCACACCCCTACTCTGCAGAGGGAAGAATCCACAACATTCTAGACGGCTGTGAAATGATTTCATGGAATGGAAAAGCTATGACAATAGCTTGGTCTTTTCATTTTCTTGCATTTAAATCCAACTTTCTTTTTTCCACCTTTTAATTTTTATTTAATTTAATTGCATTTTATTTTGGCCACAGTGGGTAAAAGGATAAAAACATCCCAACCACATCTTCTTTGTTGGGATTTGAAGAAAAGAAATTGTTTTATGATTATTCCCTTACAAATTGTTCATAGAACTAATTTGATCTGGAATTGAGGGGGGAAATGAGTATTACTATTTAACTGTGATATAATAAAATGCTCATACTTGCTAAGAATGCAGAAAATTCTGTGTGTGTGTGTCTGTGTGAGTGAGATCGACAGATTTTTCTTTCTTTTTTGTAATTCTTTCCTCTGCAAAATGTTGGTATTAAAAGACTTACAATGTGGTATCCACTGGCTAATATGGACATGAAGGTATTTCTTCAAATCTGGCAACCTTCTTCTGTACTTAAGGTCTATTTCACTGACCAAAATTACATCTCTATTCGCCCACAGCTTATACCCTAGGAACATACACAAACACTTGGCTACTTTTCCATCACTTCCCCGAAGCAGGTCCTCTTCCAGAAACACCTCTAGTTTGCTGCAGTTCAATTTGTTCCCTGGCTCCAGCTTCCTTAGTCCCTGCCAGCTCACTGTCTGGGAAATGAGGCAGCCTTACTGCTGATGGAAAGACCGCACTAAAGAGGCAATTAAAACAACTACTCACATCGTGTGCAAATATTCTCTCCCTCACTCTCTGATATTCCTCTTCTCTCTCTTCAATTGATTTACTTCGTCTGTCATCTCTAAATGGATGCATTCTGTTTTGCTGAACAGAAAAAAGAAATCAGGAGGGTTATCCAAATCGAGCTGTTAGAAATCTGCAGTTAAGCAAGTGTCCGCTGAGAATAATAAATGTTCACTTAAACAAATGGAGCAGGAAACGTCTCACTTTCTCTGGTCACTAAGGAGGCCTTGGTGGGGCACATGTGTGGTGCGTGTGCATGACACGCAATGGCAGATGTTTGCCACTCCTGGTTGCTTCCTCACTGGATTCAAGCAGCACAGATGTTTCCAGAATGAAAGCATCTGGATGTGCTTCAGGTGTTCAGCCGTTCAGCTATGTGTGGGTCACTAGTGGCTCTGGATCCTTTGTTAACCTGTGTGATTTTGACTTCTCAGAAGGAGGCAGAATGCTGGTGAAAAAAAGAGGACGTAACTAGTTCAAGGTGCCTAAGAGAAGCAATGGCTTCGAAAACTTGGGTAGTGGAGAAAGAGAGCAAGGGAATATAGTAATGGGCAGAAAGGAAGATGTGGACTCTATTTCTCTACATTCTAATTTGTGTTTTGTGTTTTTATTCACTCAATGACTGATCCTGTGACCTGCATCTGGCATAGAAAGTAGAAACTAAATTTGAAATCCCCGTTTGTCGATTAGGGTCACAATCGAGAAATCTAAAGGAACAATTCAAAGAACCCAGCATGAGGACTGCTCTTCTTCAGCCTTTCTTCTGAACCACTTCCCGCATCTCAACGACCCTCCCATCTTATTCTTGCCATTCCTCACAAAATGCTCTGCACTAACCACGTTCATCCATCCATTCAACAAACACCCACTAAGTACACGACACAGGCACATGTTTCAGAGTCAACGGGAGCCATGGTGTAGCTTGGTGGTGGTGGGAGGAAATGAGATACAAATGACGAACAGGTTTAAAAAAAAAAGTGCGTCAGAGATGCACATACTGGCTCACAGTGACTCACTAAAAGTAATTAAAATAATAACTTGAGTGAGATGCATATTGTCTTACCTTTAAGAATTCTAAAGCAAAGTCATTTTCAAAAAATCTATTTTGATTGTCAGAAACACAAAGTGTAATTGTAATGGCATTTACGTAACTTTCTACTGTTCTTATCATCATTTAAAATCTGTTTTCTTTTGTCATTTACTCAATTTTCTTCCTCATCACCCTGGATCCCTCACCCCCACCTGGAGAAGAGATTTAGAAAAGTCTCTCCATCCTCATCAAAGTACCATGAATAAGGCTACTCTAGAAAACATTGTTTTGTCACAAGCAAAATACACATAAGGAGAAAGTTCTGCCACAGTTCATGCAAAACAAGCAGACAATTTACATGGACAATAAAACATAGGAAGGAGAAGGGGTGGGAGACTAAAACATGAACTCGGTTCTTTCCTGTGAAGACTTATTTTAGGATAGTTGCAAAATCCACCTGTCCTCACCATAACAAGGTTTGTTCTTTACAGTACACCAGTTGATCATCGGTCCGTATTGACAGTCCAGCTCAATTTGTGCACAACTGAAGGACAAAGCTGTAGGGAGTGGAACGACTGCCATAGTTACACAGACATCTGGAAATGCGACTGACAAAGCTTTTCCCAACAGCTCGGAGCCTGCGGCATCCCAACCCCCCACATGCAGCAAGAACTGCGCCAAGCACCACCCATGCAGCCCAACACAGAGCCATGGCTGAAGCAATCAGGACATGGTTTCTTTTTGCTACCCATTGAATGCCAAAGGGGGAGGCAAGGGGGCAGGGAGGTTGGAGCAAGGACAGTAGTATATTGGAGGCAGGGAAGAGTTGGGAGAGGGAGAAGGGACAACAGAAGAACGACAAGAACATCAGTCAGCCCACCTTCAAAAACAACAACATCAGCCACTCTCAAACTTGAGAACCAACCTGATTGTCTTCTTTATCAATACTAGAGTTATCTCGCTTCAAGATAAACCGCTTCTGGGATTCTTCACCTTTTTCATCTTTTAAATGTTCACAAAACCTTTGCTCTGGTCTGCCAGCAAAGTAAAACATATCAATAAAAAAAGATTTTTCCCCGTTTCAAGTTATTTCTTAGTGTTGTTTCTCCCCCACAGTGGCATTCAACTTAAAAAAAAAAGTTTACACGTGGTTTTGATACTAGAATTGCTGGCAATATACAGGTAGTAATAATACGTCACTTCACAGGTATTAGAATACCTTTTGTTGTTTTGAATTTGAAGTCCTATCTGCTGCATGCTTCTCACCACGGATGAAGTCAAAAAATTTTTAAAGGCCTGAACATATATAGTGTATAGATGTTTTTAGTTTTTTTGACCTCCATCACTCCTGAATTCAGTCAAGTTCCCACCCATGTTAGCAAACAAATATACATGTTTAGAATTTGGGAGTACCACATTCATTCACTAGTGTCTGGAAAGTAGGAGAACACCTCCCTTTCAAGAACCTTCTGAATCCATAGTGAGAGGATCATCTATAAATTATTTCCATCTTTCTCCAATGACAAATGCTCTGGAATCTCGCTTCAGGAGACTCTGACACCTTTGACCACGTCTTGTAAATCAGTTCAGTAATTGGGGAAACTGGAGATATTTAGTTTAAACAACTTAATGACTGATTAGCATGGAGAAAATGCTCCAAGCTTACACACTATTGATTAGTCCATTGATTTTTTTTAGCTCCTCTTAATCATTTTGTATTATTACAGGAAAGGGCTCCACTTCCTTGTTAATTTCCCACAATCATCACTGCACGCCACAGAACTCAGTGAATGACGGGCTTGGGTTCTTCCCCAGAGGAAGAGCTAAAATGTTTGTCCTGGGTTTAGAAGCAGTTGTAATTTAAGACTCTTATTAAAGTGTCTCTGTCACGTCTGATGTATTACTTCTGAAGCCCAGTGGGTTTTCTATCCTTACTGGCTTCATTATGTATTCAGCCATGGGGAAGCCACTTCACAGGGTCTGTTGTTTAATATGGGTGACCAGTAATTGGGAATCTCATCGTTTCCATATAGCTCCAAAATAAGCAAATAGCACTTTGAAAACAAAGGGGTAGTTTAAGTGTATAATTCACATCTTGATGAGATGCATCCTTCCCTTAAATACATATACATAAATTATAATAATGTTGGTGAGCAGACACAGAAAACGGGAATAATACCAGTTATAGCTTCTAGAACTACATATAATTTTTGCAAAGTGATATTATTATCTTGTTGAATCCTTACAATAAAACCTTGATGTAGGAGGCCAAATACTTTTCACTCTCTTTTACAGATAAAGAAACCATCTCTTAGTGATCCTTTTGACTCCAAGTTTGTACATTTGCCCACTAACCCACAGGCACCGAATAGCCTATTCACATCTTTGCAGAGATGTGATTCAGACTGTCTCTGCTTACGTAGTGCACAGTGGGCTAGAAGCCCTCAAACCTCATCATGAAGAATAAAAAACCAGCATCGCATCATATCTAAGATCAATGTAAATATTTTCCACCAAAATTAAAATGTAATAAAACATAAACAATCTGGAAGTGCAAATATGACATTTTAAAATCAGAACACTAAGGGAACAAAGTAAACTTGTACTTTACAGAGAAGAGGCCATTTACAGTAGAGAAATTAAACATTTCAGTGTATCACAGTCACAGTACACTTCAATTACTTATTATACTGTGAAGTGTTATAATATTACCGTGAATAGTTGCCGATCACTGTAAACGACAACAGTTCTCCAGGAATTTTTAAGCATCCTGACATTTTTAACCAGTACTTAGATGTTATATCATTTTTTATGTAGCAAGTGAAATTAGGATATTAACTTAAATACAAATGCTGATTGTATCAATGCTAATTAACTCTCTCCTAATATCCCTAAGCTCTGTAATCTGAGAAACTCTAGCAAATGAAGTGATTTGCTTACTGCTAAAGTTTACAGATATATTTCTTGTATTTGTTGCTAATAGTCTATAACTGTTCATTTGGAAATAAAATGATCTGAGAATGTGAAATTTTTGACTCACAAGCATAAGGTGAATTTGCTTTAGACTAAATTTTTCTTTAAGAAGGAAACCATTTAGAGTAAGATTTGAGGATACTAACCAGAGCAAGAATGTAAGCTCCACGTTGGTAGGGACTTGGTTTTTTGTGTTTTGTTTTGGTGAGGAAGAGTGGCTCTGAGCTAACACCTGTTGCCAATCTTCAATTTTCCCCTTTTTGCTTGACGAAGATTGTTGCTGAGCTAACATATGTGCCAATCCTCCTCTCTTTTGTATTTGGGACACCACCACAGCACGGCTTGATGAGCTGTGTGTAGGTCCATGTCCAAAATCTGAACCCAAGGGCCCTAGGCCACCAAAGAAGAGCACACGAACTTAACCACTACGCCAACAGGCCAGACCCAGGACTTTGTTATTTATTTATTTATTTGTTTATTTATTTATTTATTTTTTGTGAGGATGACCAGCCCTGAGCTAACATCTGCCAATTCTCCTCTTTTTTGCTGAGGAAGACTGGCCCTGGGCTAACATCTGTGCCCATCTTCCTCTACTTTATATGTCACTACAGCATGGCTTAACAAGTGGTGCGTCGGTGCGTGCCCAGGATCCGAACCAGCGAACCCTGGGCCGCCACTGCAGATCGCGAACACTTAACCGCTTGTGCCACCGGGCCAACCCCCAGGACTTTGTTTTTTAAATGCTTAATTCTTAGTGCTTAGAACTGTGCCTGGCTTATGGGAGGCACTTGATTGAATGAATAAATGAATCAACGTGTTAGAGAATGAATATGTAGTACAGCTCTACATAAATCACTGTAATTCAGGGACAGATCAAAGGGTCACTGAATAAAATATGCAGTCATAAATTTTTAAATTATAAAACAGAACCGGAGAGAGTTTGGTTAGTAGAAGCATAAATTCAAATTTAGAACATTAGGAAGACCTTCTTTAAAAATCAAATTTATGTTTCAGTTCAAGTTGACCAAAAATAATCATGTTATTAAAGAAAAGTTTTTAAAATTTGCAGGTATCTTAGGAAGAGAGGTGGAAATGAGAATCTTAGCTTTTCTAGTTTTGGAACTTCTAAGTTTAAAGTGTCATTATAGCTATGAGAGAGCTATTCAAACATTATTTTTGAAATTTAATTTACATTTCTTCAGAATGCTGGCTTATTTGTTTTTTAAAGCAGGACATATTTAGGAAAAACACATCCATCACATAAGCAAAGAGTGGTCAAAGGAGCTTGTTCTAATCAATAATGTAAATATTATTCAGAGCACGAATATTTCTTACTCTGATATAAATTATGCATAGTGTATTCTCCATGACAGCTTTTCAAATATCTTGTTTAAATTTTTTTCAAACATTAGAACATAATAGTCCAAATTATTAATCCCTTCATGATTTTCCAAAAATATTTTGAGTGATTATAACGTAACCATTTGAAGTTTGCATAAAAGGAATAAAGTAAACCTAATAAGATTTTTCCAGGTTAATTTTATAGAGAATTATCTACTACTGTAGAGCTAAAGAGCAATTTGCAGTTTAAACTCATGCAAACTAAAGTATACAACTGAAGTACCACATAGGATTAAACTCAAAATTACCGGTAACACGCCATTATATTAGAGCTTTTAAAAATCCTTTTTACCACTAATTTAACATCATAGCAATATTATTTCTTAGCCATAAAATGAATGGAACTAAAGTAATATATTATGGACCTTCATTTAAAATGGGAACGAATTGCTTTTAATGTATCAATAGGAGGATGTAACTCTAAGAAAAACTCAAAGCTGCAAAAGGTCATTGTATTTGTGAAATTAATGATAACTAGAGTTTACTACACATCTCATGACCATGTCTCACACATGCGTAAATTTTTTTTCTTGGCAGATTTTAGTCCATGAGGTAATATTTCTGTCTGTCTCTATATCGTCATCAAAAAGCAAAGAAAATGAATTTAATGTTGGTTTTTGATGAAAAAATAGTTCCTCTTCTTTTTTTTTTTAAAAAAAACCTCACATGTAAGTCAGATGTTATCAAATATGTCACTAGTGGGCTATCTGGCATGTGGAATGCATTTTCTTTTCTTTTTTTTTGAGAAAGCTTGGCCTTGAGCTAACATCTGTTGCTAATCTTCCTCTTTTTCTTTTTTCTCCCCAAAGCCACAGTACGTAGTTGTATATCCTAGTTGTAGATCCTTCTAGCTCTTCTATGTGGGTTGCCGCCTCAGCAGGGCTTGATGAGTGGTGAGTAAGTCCACGCCCAGGATCCGAACCATCGAACCCCAGGCCGCCGAAGTGGAACACGTGAACTTAACTGCTATGCCACTGGCCCGCCCCTAGTTCCTCTTCTTAAGGTAAAAAAAAATTTCCCACAATTTATAGCCGGTAGCTACGGTGAAACTCATTGTTCATGTGTGGTGAACAGCACTGGCGTTTCCGATCGGTGTCTTGGCATCCCCAATTAAACCTTTCAAAAGTTAGAATTAACTCCTCGTTGTTCCTAGACATAGCTTATGAGTTGACAGGCAGCAGCGTGGCTGAGTGAAATACCGCGTTAAGACCAACTCTGCCTTCTAGTCAATCAATTCCAATTTTAGTTAGATGTTTTGTCTCTTGAAGCTTAAAATAGATGAGCACTCATTATTATTATTTCATAAATCGTTTTGATTTAGAAGTATTTTCAATGGTTTATTCTCACTGCCAGTTTCTTGAGACCAAATTTATTACTTTTCTTCCAATTAGTTAAGCTTAATGCCTCCCTGTCCCTTCCCCCTACATACACACAAATAAAGAATTCAATTCTACTCAATATGGAGGGGCACAAAGGGAAGTCTTTGAATTTCATACTGAATAGCTGAAAGATGGTCATCCATATGCATAACTATCTTAACAAAGAAAGGTAGCTGTGCCAACAGGATAAAATATTTTGATGGTGTAAGACATCTATCAAAAATATTTCAACAGTCAAACATATTCGAGAAGTCTAAGTGTCACTGTTCCCTTAACACTTC